GATGGTGGCGGGCGGGGGCGCCCGGCGCGGGGGGCACTGAGCCGGCGCCGCCGCCCGCGCCCCATGGACGGCAGACATGGACTACGAGTTCAAGTCCAAGCTGGCGGCCGAGCGCGAGCGGGTGGAGGACCTCTTCGAGTACGAGGGCTGCAAAGTGGGAAGGGGCACCTACGGGCACGTCTACAAGGCCCGGCGCAAGGACGGGTAAGGCCCGCACCCACGGCCCGGGCCGGACGGAGGAGCCATTCCCGCCCCCGGCCTCTGGCACCTCCCCCCGCCCCGTGCGCCCGGCCTCCGCCCGGGGGCCCCGGTGCTGGTGCTGGGAGGGGCTGACATGGCTGACACACGCACACACAGGCGCATGTATGCACTGGCACACGTGCAGGTACACACACACGCACAGCCAAATCCTGGGGAAAAGTTTTGGGCTATTTGGAAACATTCCTGGAGCAAAGCAGAGCACTCCCTCTGGCCTCCCCCAGGGGCAAAGGCAGGTGCATCTCCCTTGGCTGGGGCCACATGTGGGCTCAGGACCCAGGCCTGGGTTGGGGGGAGCTTGTGGATATCAGGTGTGGGTGCTTTGTGCCCAAATTTGGGGCCAGTTGGGGCATCAGTGTGAGCTGCTTGGATCCCTTTGGGTGAGCGTGGCCTCCTGGCTTGGATACCTGTCTGAGGTAGTTAGCTGCATTAGTCTGCAAGCAGGGCAGATTTGCACCTTTTATAGACTATCTAAGATGCATAGAGCACAAACTTTCATGGGCTGAAGTTGACTTTGTCAGATGGATACCTGTCATTATCCCCAGGCATTTTGCAATCTGTGTAGTAACAGTGGTCCCTGAGTGCCTCTACTGCTCATGCTTGTCAGCCTGGTCCAGGAAATTTCTGAGGAGATGATGCTGGGGAAAAAAATCGGGTGCTGTTGTCATAAGAATATAGGGGGAGGTGGAAGGGATTTTGGGAGGTGGTCTCTTGCTTAGCAGGGGATCATCTCTCCAAACCACCCCAGAAAAACATTTGTTTAACCTGCACTTACAAGAAGCATAGTGAAGTACTTCTGTAAGTACTTAAAGTAAAAGGTTTCTACAAGTGTTCGTCTGGAGTAAGTGCTGCTTAACACCTTTAATATCAAACAGAGGAAATATCATGCCGCTATTCCCCCTCCCCAGTGTCTAGCCTTTTCCTAGGCTTGCTTTTACATTGTTATTCTTTAGAGTGGGGAATGTCAAAGTGTGTACCTCAGGCCAGATCTGGCCCATGGAGATGCGTCTTTCAGCCTGCAGGGCTCTTGGAAGGGCTGGGAATTTGGGGGCAGGATCCACTGCCAAATTCAGCCATACAGAGCCCCACTAGGGATGCATGTGCACAGCACAGGAGAGACAGATGGGTGCATTAATCCCCATGGTATTTAATGCTCTACCACCAGACATGGGTCTGAATCCACCTATGAGGAGCCTTGCAGTCCAGTCAAGGAAGTTTGACACTAAGGATACCATTAAATTATGCTGTAGTTCATAAGTCTGATAGTTGGAGTGTGTGATTCTAGACTAGCTGGTAAGGAGTCAGAGTGATTATATGATGCTCTGCTTCCCCTGTTACTACAGTAATGGGATGTTAATGCCCTACCTAGTTGTTACTTTTTGTATTTAATTTCATTTTCATATTGCAATTCTGTGTTTAAAACTTCAATATGCTTGTAAATCCCAGGTAGGTGGCTTGCTTTTCTTGCAGAAAGCTAAAAAAAATGTAAGCTGTTTTCCATATGTCCAAGAACTTTAAATAATTTTGGAAAATCTATAGTAAATTAACATTGATATATTTTTTCAAATACAAAATTCCATTATTACTGTATGAAGAAATAACGGTACACAAAATGTGAGCAACAGTAGCATGTATGTGATAGTGGTATTAGGCATTAAACCACTGCATTTTTTTCCTACGTTGGTAAGCAGCATGTTTTGCAAAATGAAATTGGAAACTGTAAATGCAAGGGCAATAATATTAAGGGTAGATTGAGAGGTCCAGATACAGGACTGGGAAATGAGAAATCTGAGCTGTGAGCTGAACTCAAGTCTTCAGTATAAAGTCTAGTTAACCTTAAAAAAGGACTTGAAGTAGTTCCAGGTACTTATAGCTGTCCCTGAGCTCCCCTGGTGACTTTTATGGCTTTTATAGTCACATTTTCAGGGCTTTTCTCATTTGTGTTGCCTTATGAAGAATCCATGAAAACAAGGTCACCCTCCCCCACCAGCTAAAGTGTTTTCTGCTCGTGTTCCTTTGTTATATAGTAAGCCTGGAAAATACTTCTAAGAGTTAGTTTGAAAATTACACATCTGTCTTAAGTTTTAGTCTTAAGAAAATGTAAAAGTCAGTTGTGTCCTTTTAACTCTTATGTTTTCAGTTTATTCATCTGTGAATGAGATGTATTGGTTTAGTTGGAAGCAATAAAGCCAGAAAAGTATTATAAAATACTTGTCTCTAGAAGCCTGATAATTATTTTAAATATGGGTGGGAAATACAGTAACAGTGAAAAGTGGGAATAATCAAAAACCCACATTAAACACTAGGCAGAGGACCTATATGGTAGAGGGAAAAAAGTCCCTAAAATAGTTACCCATGAGCCTACACTGGGGTATTATTGCCAAAAGCCATTGTACCTTTTTGGACTGCATAGCCAGAGATCTCATGCTTTGAATCATGGAGGTGATCCTTGTTCCTTTCTCTATAGCACTAGCGAATCTGCTACTGGCATTCTTTTGTGCATGTTTAGGGCACTTCAGTACAAAGTAGATGGAAGCAAGTTAGAAATAATGTGGAGAACAAGCGCAATGATTAGAGCTAGGGACAGAAATTACACATAAATTAGGGGTGTACCGTTAGACATTTTAGGGGCTGATACCCATCCAATACCTGCTACAGCTGCCATCAGCTGGTAAGTCTGGTGTGGTGGAAGGGGAGGGAAAGGGTATGGGGGGGTAGATCAGTGACCCCCATGGTGAGGGAGGGAGCAGGGACAGGTGCTGCACAGCCAGGGTGGGTGCGGGACGGAGGTGTGGCTCATGGGGTGGGGGCAGCTCCCTCCTTGAGGGGGCAGAGGGGGGGCATGTGCCTCCAGATCTGTGTGGTGCGGAGCAGGCTGCAGCTGTGGGGGTGGAGGGAAGTCCGAGTTGGCTTTTCTTGCTGGAGGCTGTGCTTGGGGTGGGCCCCAGCAGCACTGGGAGGAGGCTTCAGTCACCCCAAACTTCACTGCAGCTTTGCTCCCAGACCCATGTCACTGCCTGGCAGAGCCCCAGAGGTGGAATGCTCCACCTCTACCCAAGTGCTGAGAAAAGCCATGACTGCAGACACTCTGCCCCCAGCAAGAAGAGCCCTGTGCAGTGCTAGCTGGCTCCAGCTCCTCTCCACAGCTGCCACCCACCCCGTGCTGCGCAGATCTGGCAGATCCAGGGACACATGCCCCGCCCCACCTTCCCAGTGTGCAAGCAGTAATGGGAACCACCCCCATCCCATGAGCTGTGCCTCTGTCCCATGCCCTGCCCTGGCTGGGCAGTGCCTGCCCCTGCTCCCTCCCTCACTGTGGGGGGTACTGTTCTGTGCCCCCCCCCCACTTCCCTTTCCTTCTGACTTACCAGCTGGAGGCATTTATCATTCAAATTATTGGCCCCATATGGCCTATATCTGATGCAGATAATTTTCTTCATATTGGTACCAATCTGATTTTGGACCGATATACCAATTTATGTTAGAGGTTCACCGATACAAGTGATTGGAAACCGGTTCAAATCTGTAACACAACAGAAGTTCAGTGCACTTAAATTATTTTCAAAATGGCTGAAACTGGTTTAAGAAACCAGAATCAGACTTAACTGAATTAGGTTAAATATGTTTATTGATCTTCTGTCCCAGATCCCCTCCACATTGAAATAAACTCACAGTCCCCCAGCATCTTAGCATGCTTTGCATCTCCTCCTCAACCCCCTCTCACAGAGTGGGCAGGCTAGCTTTGGCCCAGGCTGTCTGCTCCAGCAGAGCAGGAGATGTGCTGTAGCGCAGGCATGTGGCTGCGTGTCCAGAATCAAAAGTGAATGTCTGTTCACTTATTTATCGGTTCAATCTCTGCAGCTTAGACTAACCCACAAAGATTGAGTTGATTCAGCCTTGGGCTTTTTGACTGTCTCTGCTTAGCCAGTGTGTTAGAGTGATTTTATTTCCTTTGTAAGTCACTCTAGAAAGAAATCTCTTGCATCAGTTTTCGTGCAAGGTTTCTTAGTGATGGGAGACAAATCTGTACCTGTGTTGGCAATGGAAACCAGCAGCAATGCATGTTTATAGTCTATCAATCATCATGGGATTTGAGGCTCATGTAAAGGAAGGCCTCTCTGGCAGCTTGTAGGGATGGTTTCAGTGTGTTTGCAAAGCAATCTTGTACAAACTAGAAAAAAGATTTCATCTACATGCTACTTGTAGTTGGTCTTCAATCTCTAGATGCCGTAACAGGTTAGGTGCCTGAGGAGTGCTGTGATGTCTCCTCATCCCTGCTAGGCTCTCTCTATACCTTATTTCTCTGGGTGTCGCTCTGCCTTCTTTCCTGCTGTGTCTTGATGAAACCTTTTTGAAAGGGAGACTTCCCCCAGAGCCTGGCCAGACCATGGTGCATGCTCTTGCTCACTTGCTTTTGCGCTCTCTCTCCTCCTGTGGTCATCTCAACATTGTATGCCTTAACGGCCTGTTGTGTGGCTCCAATCTGTCCCTACACCATGCCCCGTGCCTTGGGTGTTTTGAATCACCAGTCAGGTGGGACACTTGTCCCCAAGTCTCCAGGCCACCTCAAGCCTTCCTTTCCTTGTTGGGGCTTCCATCTTCTACCCTTCTGCTCTAACTGGTCATGTTGTTCTAGGTTTGGCTTTGGGCCCCAGCTGTGCCTCTGCTCAACTTTGGGCTTCTGGATCCCCTGGTCCCCCACTCAGCCCCTCTCTGGGTGTAGGCCCTGGGCATGCTTTCTGCAGGGCCCCAGGCTTGGAACTCAAGCAAGAGGTGTAACCTAAAACAAAGGCCACTTGCCTGATTAGAAGCACTTCTCTGCCCTGGGTCATTGTTCCCAGACCTGCATGGCAGTTTACCCTTATTCCTGGGTCTTTCAGGGGCCCTGCTACAATGGGCTCCATTTCTTGTGGCTCTCAGGACTAGTGTCCTGACTGGTGCAGGCA